GAACTATTGGCCGTAGCAGAAACCTCGGCAGACCATCTCCTGCTGAAGATTTTCTCCCGAAATTTTAACTTTTACTCTCCAAAATGCTGTCCAAATTCATCAGGTCCGTCGTGCAACAGGGCCATGCAAACCAGGTGTGTATTATGTGTTGAAGATAATGCTGTAGTTTTAATATAAGTCATTTTTTTAGGAAGGATATTTATATAATTTCGCCGGAGGAGGCCAAGACCTGTAATATAGACCTATATATATTTTTTTTTACGTATGTTGATTACCAGGTTGCAAAGGGGCGCTGTTGAAAGGTCTCATGGATGTCTTCATAAGAGGAAGATGTATGAGGAAGAGGTGATGAGATTGACATTAAAGTCGGGTCCTTATGTTTAGAAAACCAGATGTATTAGTATTTTGTTGATTCAGTTTTTTTCGGCTTTTGTTACCGAGAACGACGCACCTTCCAGAAAGTCCCCAAAACCAGGGTAACATGTAAACCCAAAAATCCAAACCTAACCTCTCCTACCTTCAGTTTATTCCCTACCCCCCCCCCCACCCTGTTATTAGCACTTGCAGGCAAATTACATGAAATGCAACATTACGAACTCTGGCTGTTTGAGGGTGTTGTGGACATAGTCTAGGCGGTGACAGGCAGTAGTTATTTTCGTCACTTTGTGGTAAATAGGAGGCCACTGTACCCTTGTTTTTAATACTATACTTCTTATGCTCTCTAAGATGGCAGTGTCTGTTTCTCTCTGTCATTGTGCGTCGCTCGTGGTAACATTAACCATTTTTTCCGCTAGGTAGTGTGGGTGTGTCCGAACCATGCTTGAAACTTAATGATGCACATACAATAATTTGTTTTTATATGGTATGGGAATTGCGAAGATTATCGCAAAGCAATTGCTGGTCAGCTGATTTGCTTAAAGACAGTATTGTAATCCTACAAATATTCATGGAAGGAGAGAGCGTTGGATAGGCTCAGCATCTGTCATTCCCCCATGTCGGTCATGCACTCTACCCTGCTGTGGGTTAGAGCGAGAATTCCCTTGAAAATAGGCAATATACATGGCATTACGTTGCTGTGAACATAGTCGCTTCATTGCTAAAAATCCCTCTTGTCTATAGATGTGCTTGAAGAAGGATATGATTTTCCTGCAAGGAATTGTACAGATAGCATTTTGTTTGGTAAAGAATAATTCTCAATTTAATCAAAGGTCATATTATGAAAGAAAGTCATTAATTGTTTATGTGATTTCCGCACCTGTTTGAGCCTGTATACCTGTTACTCTAGCCAACAACCTTAGGGGCACTGTTGGCCATCCACAGGCATTGCCATATGAACCTTAAAAACCCTCCTAACCCAGGGCTTCACCCCCGAACCCCCAACCCAATCGCTGTTTTTCCCTAAGCGATGAATCTGCCCCTGAGCCTTCACCAGCCTTAGTTTCTTAGTTGCTTTTGTCACAGACATTTTTCCTCATTTCCGACTGTTTTCTTTGCTTGTACATATTATGTTATGTATCAGTGAGTGCAGTTTATTTTCCTCTCTCTGTGACAGTTCCCTTAGATTTTCCTTAACATACTGTGTTATTATGTATGTACTAAAAAGTTTACAATGCTAAAATTAAAAGGTCTTTTTTGTAGTGATAATGATGATGATAATAATAATAATAATAATAATAGTAATAATAATAATAATGATGATATTGACCAGCATTTGAAGTGCTTTGCCCTAATTTCTTATGAAAGTTTTACAAACACACAAAGAATTAACCTATACAAAACCTCAGCTTCCTGTGTGTCACTCTGACAGAGAACAAGAAATATCCGCATTGTACTTTCACTTATGATAGAGATTATGGATCCTCCTGGCAATTGTGTCCTTGTCATCATTTAGCATTTAGAATAGAACTGTGTGGAGTTAAGAGGGAAACTAATGTCATAATTCTTCTTTTATATTGCTTTTTCTTATTTTTCTTTGGTCTGGATTGATCAGTAAGTAGGTATTTTGGAGAAATGAGATGACCATGAGATCATCCACATGCTATAACTATAGTGGGGGGAAGGCTGTGTGATCTAGACACAGATTGATGGAATGCTAATATTATTGTGGAATAAATGGATATCATGAAAGTCCACCCTTTCGAGCAGGTGAAAAATGCATCTGAACAGTTATATCATTGTTATTATAACATGATGATGATAATGGAGTCCCTGTTGACTGAGCCCTTATGGAGCCACCAGTGTGCATCAAAATGTATAAAATAATTACACTGGACATTATATCTGCAGCCAAAGTCTTAAATGGCATAGTGGATGTGTGCTTTTATGCATGAAAGAAAAACCATTTGTAAAAAAAAAAAAATTGCTTGATTTTTATAGATTTGTGTAAAAGTGCCTCTTGAAAAGACCTATCTATTTCCTGGAATAGGTTTATTTATATTGAGGTAAGTTGCTGAAGGTATTGTTTATAGCTCTCTCATCAAGAAGGGCTTATAAGAAATTTCTTTAATAAGCTCATTTAGTCCTCTAACACATGAGGAAAATAACAAATCTGAAGGGATCTGGTATTAGTCTGTTGTTGAAATTTCACTGTGTATGTTGATAAGGTTTTTGGACAGCTATCAGGTCTTGTGGTAGAATTTACATGAGAGCTTTTGTAATTTTCTAACACTCCTCTGTTCCAAGTAATACAAGTTTGCCCTAAAATGTTGTTAATTCTTTCTTTGCAACATTCATGGAACAGTACAGCGCATGGTCAGGTGCCCGAAATACAGCCTCTTTGATGTGGACAGACTTCTGGGAACTCTCAATGGTATTGTTGCAGGAGTTGCAACCCCTTTTAGACTTTTCTGTTGCTGGTGCAGTCAGTGTCCATCTTCATTTATGTGTTGTACCTTGGTTGCTGTGTCATGTATTGTAGATAATGCATCTCTTCATTTTGGATTTTTTTTTTATACATTATAGTGTATTGATTAAATAAAACTGTAAGGGCTGTATTTGTATTGCAACATCAATCATAAATGTTCCATAAACTCTTTAAAAATATGATTTGCCCTTTATTCATTTATTAATATGTATATTTTTTAACAATTCAGAAAAAAAGCATGTTGTTTAAGATAGATTAAAATGCTATTGTGTAAGCTAGAATGTCTGATTTATGATTGTGAAAAAGAGAGACAAAAAAAAAAAATGCACAAAAATATCTTGTTACTTCTGTTGACTGCAGGTTAAAACTTTATGCACAAGACAATTTGATGTTTTCTTGCCTTACTGTACTGCATTTGACTTTCATGTTCCTTCAATGATAGTGTGGAAACCTCTATGTGCTATGAATGGAAATATGAAAATGCAAAACCACTGTTCACTTTCACATACATGTTTGTGATGGATGTCCACATGCACAGCAATAGTTATGTAAGAATACTTGAGTTTTTTATTTAGTTAAGAAATAAATAAATATATATATATATATATATATATATATATATATATATATATATATATATATATATATATATATATATATATATATATATATATATATATATATATATATATATATATATATATATATATTATATATATAGTATTGCAATTCATTATTATTATTATTAATTATCATTATTAGAATTGTTATTATTATTATTACTATTATTGTTATTTTTTTGTTATTGTCATTATTGTTATTATTATTTTTGAAATTATAATAAAAAATATGATTATTATGATGACAATTTTTTTCAAAAGTTATCATAACCAACATGACTGTTTACAAATAGATACATCATTATTGTTTTTTATAAACATGTTGTAATAGTAAAGTAGGACCCCAGTTTTAGTGTTCTTTTTATTAACACTGCCTGGCCATCAATTTATTTAAGGCAGTATGTAGTTATTTATAGATTCCCCCCCACCCCCCACCCCACCCCTCCCCCCATACCTTAATGCTGTCGAAAGGAGTTATAATCTTCATATTTATTACTCTGATTGTTAAGAGTCAAAGTAGGATTGAAAAAGATGGCTTGTGTGTTTTCACAGGCAGGCTTTTGTTTGCCCTCACTCCAAGTTGCAACGAGTTTAGCCGTTTCCTTTTCCGGTGTTTTTTTAATGGCTTGTGAGAGAGGCCGAGGGTGAGGCCCAACTGCACTATGATCGTGATTAGTGTAATAGTAATAATAGTAGTAATTTGTAATAGTAGCAGTATCATTGTCTTATTTAGTTTTTACCTTTATGATTATTTACCAAATGTGCTTAATTACAGAAATTACAGTAGTGTTTGTTTCTCTGTAGTCTTCTGGCAGTATTTGTAGTGGCGTCATTATTATATTCATTCTTGTTATTGTTATAATAATGATGATAAGAGTATTAATGATGATTTATTATTATTGTTATTATTATTATTATTATTATTATTATTATTATTATTATTATCATCATTGTTATTACTAATACTATAATTGTTATTATTTATTGTTACTGATATTATTACTGTTATTATTTTTATCATTATTACTATCATTATTATTATTATTATTATTATTATTATTATTATTATTATTGCTGTTATTGTTAATGATATTGTTATTACTATTCTCTTTATTTTTATTGTTAATATTGTTATTATTGTTATTGTCATTGTTTAGATTATTACCAATGGTTATAGTAATCATTGTTGCCATTGTCCATTTGGGTTATTGACAGAAACTTAACACATTCCCCATGGAAGGGAGAATCACACTTAACCCCCCCCCCCCCCCATTGACATTGAAGCTTCAAAACTTTAACATACTAGTTTGACACAAGTTAGCATCATGAAACCAGGCTTATTTTATTCCCTAATTTGCAAGGAGTCACATGATAAGCTAATAAAAAGTGACTCACAGGGGCACACATCCTGCTGTAGAAGCAAGTTTGTGTTTGGCCCATAAAAAGTGGTGCCACTGGTAGACCACAATGTATGTATATCATTCTCTCCGATATTTACGCGGTAATTGTGACTTTGTTAGATACCAGTGGCTGGTCCGTGGCAAATTTTGTGTCATTCATTGACCAAAATGCATTATACAGGAAAGTAAATGATTTTGTTATATGGAAGTAAAATTTAGTGAAATGTTAAGTTTTCATGATTAAAAAGTAAATTAATTTGTTTTACATTTTATTATGTATGAAATCTATTTTTCAGTAATAGTAATAAGATAATGAAAAAGACATATTTTTTACATATTTACTAGTGAGAGGAATACCAATATATTCATTGTTTTTCAACCAAAACTGGTTTATATAGTATTCTTTATAATCTTTCACTGTTCTTTATTAATTATAAAAAGTCTTACACAATTACGCTCTTGTACTAAAATATTGCTAATTTTAAACTCTATATTTTTCCCCATTTTTGCCGACGATTGACCCACTAAGTAATAGAACTGATTACCCCATGGTACACCAGTGGCCCATTCCCCGGCAAATGTGTTATTATCATTATTGTTGTTGTTATCTTTTTTTGATATTGATGTGATTGTTACAATTGATATTTTTGTCTTTGTTATCATTATTGTTATTACTTTCCTTAATGATATTGTTAATATTGCTGCTGTTGTAATTATTATTATTATTATTATTATTATAATAATAAGTTATATATATTTTATTTTTATTATTAATGTTGCTGCTGTTTGTGTTTTTGTTGTTTTTGTTATTTTTATTGCTGATGTTTTTGCTATTATTGCAGTTCCTTCAGCTGGCATCAGCATTGTTATCACTGTACCGTATTTAACAAGAATAATGCAAATATCAGCCATTATGGTTCTTGGGAATGTAAATGACATGTTTGTGTTTAAAAAGAGATAGGATGCTTATCATGGCAATGCCTTCAGTCTTTCACAGTCGTATCAGATGTTTATTTTTGTTGATGTTAGATAACTGGGTGTTTAGTGAAAATGTAATTATTACTTCTCAAGACATATATATAATATATAGATATATGTAATATATATATATATATATATATATATATATATATATATATATATATATATATATATATATATATATATATATGTATATTACATATATATGTATATTACATATATATATATATATATTATATATATATATATATATATATTACATATATATATATATATATTACATATATATATATATATATATTACATATATATATATATATATATATTACATATATATATATATATATATTACATATATATATATATATATATATTACATATATATATATATATATATTACATATATATATATATATATATTACATATATATATATATATATATATATTACATATATATATATATATATATATATTACATATATATATATATATATATATTACATATATATATATATATATATATTACATATATATATATATATATATATTACATATATATATATATATATATATATATATATATATATATATATATATATATATAATATATATATATATATATATATATATATATATATATATATATATTACATATATATATATATATATATATATATATATATATATATATATATATATATATATTACATATATATATATATATATATATATATATATTACATATATATATATATATATATATATATATTACATATATATATATATATATATATATATTACATATATATATATATATATATATTACATATATATATATATATATATTACATATATATATATATTACATATATATATATATATATATTACATATATATATATATATATATATATTACATATATATATATATATATATATATATATATTACATATATATATATATATATATATATATATATATATATATATATATATATATATATATATATATATATATATATATATATATATATATACAATGTAGTGATATATGATATAAAGATATTTTATGTAGAATATTCTTTCTTGAATATACAGATAGTCCCCTACTTAAGAACATTCTACTTATGAACATTCCATACATACAAACAAAAATTTTTAAGTGCTAAAGTCCAAAAAATTGTTTGAAAGATGCGAGCAAACTTCAAATTTCCCGGGCACGAATATAGTTCAAGAGTCTGGTACTGCATAAGGTATGTTGTACTTATTGGGATTTATTTACAGGTATTATCAATGTAAACAAAACTTTAAAATAATGGGAAAAAATGTAATGCAGACCCGACTTTCGACATACAAACAAATCAACTTACAAACAGCCTCTCGGTCCCCATTATGTTCATAAGTTGGGACTTACTGTATTTGTTTAGCAATTTGTAGGTTTAGTTAGTAAAAGGAAGATATTTAGTGACTTTCTATATGATTTAATTATTGTACACTTTTTCAAGTGTTAAGTAGTTTTAGACAATTCACTTTCTCTGTGTGAGAGGAGAGACCACAGGGTTTAGACGAGGTTAACTGTTATTCATAGATAGTCGTATTAGGCAGTTTTGTTATATGATCATGCTGTTGTTGAAAATAGATAGTCTTGACAACCTTTCCACATCACACCAGGTCAGCAAAGCTACCAAGATCGCCCAAACATGCGAAGAAATGGCCAAGGTAATCAGCAGTGTGTAGCTTAAATCACATGTTAAAAAAATTAAAAAAAAAAAAAAGAAAGAAAAAGGAAAACATAAAACATAAAACCTGGCCACCTGTCTTTAGGCAAGAATACCAGACAAAGTTGGTGAAAAAAAAGAGAGAAAACAAGTATAAAGAGAGAGAGAGAAAAAAAAATGTATTGGATGCATATTTTTGGACTAAAAGAAAAAAAGTATTGGTTTTATTATATATATTTATGATGTGTTCTTGCTTGAAGTACCAATGCATATGCACACACATTTTATTTTTTGTAGGCTGCTGTAACCATACTGTATGCAGTAAAAGGCATACAGGTTGCTAATCTTGATTCTAGTCATGTATAAGATTTTCTTCGCCATGACCACCGAAAAAATGTAAAAACTAATGCCTTCTCGGTTTTATAATCTGGATAAGTTTTTTGATTTCTGATTCTAAAATTGGTTATTTGGTTGTTTATATTATATTGTATCACTGTCCGTCTATTGATATGTAGAACAAGATGTGTATTTGTGTGCGTGTGTGTGTGTGTTTGTGTGTACATATATATACATATATACATATATGTATATGTATATATACTTACATGTACAAAGACATAAACGTAGACATAGGCAGCATACATTCATACATAAATACATTCATTTATTCATTCATTCATATTTACATATATACATCTATGATTTATTTATATACATATACATATATATATATATCATAAGCAAAGTTATGGTTTACTTTAAAATGTATCTTATTTGTTAGTCTTTATGTGTATATACAGTACATGCATGCTTATCATTTGTGAAATGAATATAGATTAAATCATTTTATTAGCAGAATGTAAACCATAAAGTGATTTCATTTACAGAACGTAATTGATGTTTTTTACCAAATTACATAGTGTTACTTTCTTCTACTTCCATGTTCTTGATACATTTATACATCCACAGAGAGCCCTGGCACCTTTCATGACCTCTTCAGTAAGGAACAGCGGAACGGCGACCGAGGCGTCTTTTGAAACAAGGCCCTACAAGTTGCACAAACTGGAGACGCCTCCAAACAACACCACGTCATGCACTCGGGACGAAGCCCTTACGTTTTACACTCAGATGCAGATGATCAGGAGGATGGAGAGTGCTGCTAGTAACCTCTATAAGGAAAAGGTAATCTCTTTTTCTCTCTCTCTCTCTCTTTCTCTCTCTCTCTCTCTCTCTCTCTCTCTCTCTCTCTCTCTCTCTCTCTCTCTTCATCTCTTCTCTCTCTCTCTCTCTCTCTCTCTCTCTCTCTCTCTCTCTCTCTCTCTCTCTCTCTCTTCTCTCTCTCTCTCTCTTTCTCTCTCTTTTCATCTCGCTCTATCTTAATATCCCCCTCCCCCTTGCTCTCTCCCTCCCTCTTTCTTTTGTCATTCTGCTTTGTATTTCCACTCTTTCTCAGTCTCATTGGTCGTTAGAATGGATCTGTAAATGTTTAGTCTACCTCCTTAAAGCTGAAGTGACTTTTATTCTACACTTTCCACAGGCTATTCGGGGCTTTTGTCATTTGTACAGCGGCCAAGAGGCTATTTGCGTAGGTATCAAGGGAGCTCTGAGGGCACAAGATTCAGTCATCACTGCCTACCGAGACCACGGATGGGCCTACGTCATGGGTTGCAGCGTGACAAGTTCGTAATTTTAGACGTTTTTGTTAGAGTTCTTGTGTGTTCCTGGAGATGAGATAGAAACTTTGAATTTGTTCACATGTTCTTATATAAGAATGCAGATTATACTCTTTAATCATTATGTATAAGAAAGCGGAAGATGCATTTTGTGGGAAGCAAGAAAATGCATGGAAGTTTGTATTTAGATTACTGTTCTCATTAACCCAATGACGCCGGGTGTACAAAAGGAAAATAAAACTCTACGCTCTGGCAAACAAAGGCAGCGCGCCGACTTTGAGCGCAGGAGTACGGGGCGTCAGCCCGAATCACTGGCTCGCCGCGCTTTGGCGCGCCGCCGGCTGGTTTGGCCGCACGCCACCTTTCGAGCGATTTGTTTACACGCGTATCGCCGTCACCCGGCGGCAAGGGGTTAAAGTTAATGTTGTTGTTAACTATATTGACCTGTATTTAGGCCTGCAACTTGTCTTTTTGGGAACTGGCACTAAAAGATGAGGTTGTTTTTGGATTTCCGGCAAATATTGTAATGAATAAAATTCCCTTAGGGTTTCCTGCAAGAAATTTGTTCTCTTTCGATGCTGGAAGATTCATGTGAAGAAACATTTACATGTTATGTCTATTGATACAAAACTTGGATTGATTGAGCAGTATTTTTCATTATTAATTTTGGTTTAGGCACTGGACTTTAGATTTCTGAATGAAAAGTTACCGTCAGATGAATTTGTATATACTTTCAAACATTAGTTGTTGTTTTTTAAACCAGCTTGTTTATAAGGTGTGTATTTACTACCTACTAATGAAAGCATATACTTTCAAGGCATCATGGCAGAATTGACGGGAAGGACGCAAGGAATGGCCAGAGGCAAAGGAGGCTCTATGCATATGTACGCTAAGAACTTCTATGGTGGTAATGGTATTGTAGGTGCCCAGGTACCCGTAGGTGCTGGCATTGCCCTCGCCAACAAGTACTTGGAGAACAGTGGTATCAATGTCAGTCTCTATGGTGATGGAGCTGCCAATCAGGTAAATCTTTGATGGTATTCTTTGGAAATGATTGCTTGTTTTCATATTTCTGATTGCAGGTTATTATATTTTTCTCTCTTTCTTAAATAGTTGATAGTGCATATGAGTTGTTGTTTTTATTATTATTATTATTATTTAAACTTCCTTCTCCTATCCCACAGGGCCAGCTTTTTGAAGCATATAACATGGCCAAGCTGATGAATTTGCCAGCTGTATTTATTTGTGAGAATAACGGTTATGGCATGGGTACTAGCGTTGACCGTGCCTCAGCCTCAACCAACTACTACACTCGTGGAGACTACGTCCCTGGAATATGGGTAGGTTTCTGAAGTTGGACAAGAAGTTTCCAAGATGAATATGCTATGAAAGTGAATTTTCAGAATCTTTAACATTACTGCTACATGTTTACATTACATGTTTAGCTAAGTTTATTGCATTTGAGATGTTTCATCATCTTCATCCTGTTGAAAAACTATTTCAACATTGTTACTGATCTGGGTGACACTAATCAAATGGAATGTTATGAAATAATAAGACAGGTTCCATGAAGTTCCTGAAGTTTTTTCTGAGACCACTTACATTCTACTTGAAATGTTTAGGATAGCTGAATATTTTGAAGTTTAATATTTAGATAAGATTTCCTTGCAGATCACAGAATCAAACATATTGTTTCTGTATCACTTCACTCTGTTTTAGACCTTTTAGAAGATGATACATGATTGGGATACAAGCCATACACTGAGGATACTATTTTTTTGAATTACAGATTGATGGTATGGATGTACTGAGTGTAAAGGAGGCCATCAGTTACTGCATTGAGCACTGTACCTCTGGAAAGGGACCTTTGGTACTGGAGGTAGCAACCTACCGCTACCACGGCCACTCTATGTCTGACCCTGGTACATCTTACCGTACTCGTGATGAAATTCAGGAAGTCCGTCAGACCAGGGACCCCATCATGCTCTTTAAGGAACGCATTCTCTCTGCAGATTTGGTTACTCCTGAAGAGCTTAAGGTATGTATAAAGAAGGGTTGTTGTTAGAGAATATGAGAATTTTAAGTTGTAAATGTTTCACAACAGAGTCTATTATTAGCATGAATCCTGCTGGCTAACCATGTCAGTATAGGAGTACTTAAGTGTGTGGTCATAGTAGAGATTGTATTTTTAATTTCATAATACAAGATTTGCAATGTTATTTACCCTGTCTTGCAGAAAATCGATGGTGAAGTGCGCAAGGAAGTTGACGAGGCCGTCAAGATAGCAAAGACAGACAAGGAAATCGCAGTTCAAGAGTTGGCTGCTGATGTTTACTCTAACCCTCTGGAGACTACCATTCGAGGCACCACTCCTTACGATCCCTACACACACCAGCGCCTCAGCAAAATCATTAACCCACATTGATTGGACACAGTGTCCAGCGTTTCTTGCTTTAGAAAACTGTGTAGACAGCAGGTTGTTTCTTTTAAATAATTCCATGTGTGACATGTAATTTCCATCATCTGTAGCCTTTCAGATGTATTTTTGGCACAATGTCCTAGAATGTTATCATTTGCATTTGAAAGATGAAATCTTATTTGAACTGTTATACTGTTATTAATGTAATTTCTCAATTTACCTTTTTTTCTTCTTTTCTTCTTTTCTCTGTCTTTGTGTACTCAAGCCTTTTTTTTTCCCTTTCTGTAGCAAAACCAGTTTATCAAATTGTTATTTAATATTTAGCAAATCATTTTAGGCAAATATTCTGTGTCCACTGGAACCATCAGCAACCATATGTTCGGAGTAGGTAGTTTTCATTGAGGAAAAATATATATTGCTGAATAAGGATGTAAATATAATTTTAAGACCATTCTGTATAATAATATGAATATATAAAACATGGTATTTCATTTTACCACATCCTCCTCCTACTCCTATGAAATAACTAGTTGTTACTTCATTCACTTAAATTGTTTTTATGGCTGTTTAACATCAGTAAAGTCAGATTATTTGAAAGGTGAAGGCAAATGGTCTGGTCCTGAAAATGCCTTACATGGAACAACATTTGCAAAAGTTATATTTCATGAATTGTGCATTTGTTACTCATCTAACCTTAAACCTTGGATTAAAGACATACACACATTTCAGATTCTATTTAAGAATATATGGAGTTCATTATATTGAGGTTAGTAGAGAGCTCCAGTTAAAACCCTTGAAGTAATTTATGAATTTTAATGGTCATAATTTCACAAGGGGTCATTGTGATACATTGGTAACATGAATGAGGACCAGTAGGGTATAACAGAGGCAACTCCCAGGCCAGCTACAGTCAAATTTAGAAAAGGCATCCACTTATGGTTAGGTATGAATCAACTAGTCAGACATTTGATGAAGCAGACACCTTCCCGATACGAATGAGGAAGGGAGATTGTGATGTAAAGCTGATCATTAAATTATCTCTATCTCAAGGAAAGTAAATTTGAAAAAAAAACAGTTCCTTGGCCAAGTGCTTTGTATCAGATGTGTGCATAAAGAAGGTTTAGGACTTGTGGGGAAAAAAGAGGGTGTGACTATGATAAAGTGTGGAGTGTTTATCCAAGATAACACATCCTCTCCTACACCCACCTCTCCATCTCCTCAGACATCTATTCCCTCTTTTCTTCCACATAAGAAAACCTTTGTTTCTCAGACCTCCCCTCCAGAAACTCGCTCCCCCATCCACCCTCCAGTACCTCTATTCCTATTTGCTCTACATTCAAAGTAAATGCTGATATCCCTCCTCTTCCTCAAGGTCCTCCTACTCGTTTTCCTCCTACTCTCCCTAAAAACACCCCACCTCTCCTTCATGTGCATCACCATTCCCTCTTCCTTCCCCATTATCCTTACCACTCCCACCTGGATGCTCACCTGACTCTCTTATGTTACAACAATGTCCTTCTCCAGGTCCCTCCCCTCCTGACATTCTTCTTGATACTTCACCACCTTCCCCTGTTCCTTTTTTCTCATTCTCTAGATTATTCTCCAACTTCTCCAACTACCGTTTCTACCCATATTACCTGTTAATTATTTCATAACGTCTCTTTTTTTTGCGTTCCTCATACAATACTACTCTCCCTTCCTTAGACACGCACTCTCCATTTCTAATCGCCTCACACAGAACCCCTTCCCCTTTTAACAGATTTCTGTGTACTCCATTTGTTCTCCCCGCTCTACCCTTTTCACTAATATTCTGTCCCACTCTTCAGCCTTTGACATTTAACATATTTTATCCTATTCGTTAACTTATTTCTATCCATTTCAATAATAATAAACAAATACGTAAACAATCAGCCCACGACAAGGGGCTTAAAACAATGGAAATTGGACAATGGGTTAGGGAAATTTCACGTTTCAGGAATCTCTGGTTGTATATTTTTTTAGGCCAGATTTCCCTGAACATTTTATAGTCCTACTAAATTGTATTCATATTTCATCGTGTTATGCATATCACGCCCCTCTCCTACTTCTGTAAGTTACTCTATTCTAAAGTTATTGTACTGTATTGTTATAGTAGTTTTTTATATTTTAAAGTGTCACCTCCCCCTAATACATTAATTGGTGACCTCCCCCCCTTATATACTGATATTTGAAGCCATTATATTATTATTATAAATCTTAAAACATTTATATTCTCTGTATATTCATCTGAAAAAAAAGTTTTAGTTGGTTTGACTTAAGTATGACATATCATGTTTTACTGACTTTAAGTTAATATGTAGAAAGTGGGAAGAGTCAAGGCTTAAACAGATAGGAGGGTTCACTGCTTTTATATATATCCAAATATACAAATAAATGAACCAAAATTTCAACCTAACAAAAAAAAATAAACGTTCTCAAATACACCATTTTTACTCTTAACCAAAAATATCAACCCAACAAAAAAAATAAACAAGCCACCCCTCATATCTCCACTTTCTATAACACCCTAACTTTTACTCACAACCAAAAGATGGCGCTTTCACCAGAGAACGCACAACCATCACACTCTTCACCCCTACAAATTCAATGTAGTTTCCATCCCCCATCACCCTTTACTGACCGCACTTTCCCTTCTTCCTACACCCCTTGCATTGCAGCCGACGTACAAGGCCGACGAAAACATTACAAACCGGACTCGGAAAATCTTGCATGCCATTGCACTCTCAATATGTCACTTGCGATAAGGGTGAGATGTGTGTGCTTGTGTCAGTCGTTTCATAATAGTACAGATTATAGTTTAAGATAATTATTAAATGAATTATAAGAGTTGTTCTTTCATGTGGATGAGATTAGATTATATTATTTTTTTCTTGATTTCTCTTAAAACACGAAAGATAGGATGACAATTTGCATTAAAGATAGAGAATGAATCTGTATTAACTCCACAAGTGCCGGGAGGACTCTGTAATATATAAATAGACGGTTAATACATGGGAATTAGGTCAACAAGAGATCAGGGTCAACATAGGTCACTTGGAATAGGGTAAACACAGGTCACTTGGAATAAAGTTAATGCAGGTCACTTGGAATAGAGGAAACACAGGTCAAGTGAGAATATGGTTAACACAAAGGGAATAGGTGTAATGCAGGTCAGGCATTTTGATATCAGTGAATTGTATTTATTGGATATTTTATGCTAGAAATATTAGTTTTAGTCTTGAGGAACCGGCGTTGATATTGGTGGTAATCTGAGATGCTGCCTTTGTAACTGTCGATATTTTAGCAAAGGAGATTTTCTTTGCCTTTGCTGAAGTGCCGTTACTGTTAAGTATTTGCCATAACTCATCTCTAATACTAAGAATTATAGGGGCTAGAGACCCCTGGAAATGTATGTGGTTAGTTATTTGTGTAATAATCAGCTTAATTGGTCTGCAGTATCATTTTTTCTTTGTATTGTATATTTACTTGTGACCAAAGGACCACATTCAAAGCAAATAGCCACTGCATGTAGAAGTCAACCTACAAAAATATTTATTTGTATATACATCACTAAAGGTTTTCTTTGTTCCAGCTTGTACGGCCGCTGGTTGCGCAGTACCAGAGTTCCGTTGCAAGTAAAATTGCATGGAACATAGTGCACACTCTTGGAAATGGAAACACCAGCATTAGCCGCGACCAGAGATTCCTCCAGTGCAGAGGCATGGCAGGACATTCCAAGTGGGCGAATATTAAACACACAAAAGCTGCCAAGGATGCTGAGAGACAGAAGAAATTTATGAAGTGTTCACGACTCATAAAGCTTGCCGTTAAAGGTCTGTTTTCTCTCTCTCTCTCTCTCTCTCTCTCTCTCTCTCTCTCTCTCTCTCTCTCTCTCTCTCTCTCTCTCTCTCTCTCTCTCTCTCTCTCTCTCTTATTTTCTTTCTTTTTTCTTTCTTTTTTCTTTCTTCTTCTTCTTCTTCTTCTTCTTCTTCTTCTTCTTCTTCTTCTTCTTCTTCTTCTTCTTCTTCTTCTTCTTCTTCTTCTTCTTCTTCTCCTCCTCCTCCTCCTCCTCCTCCTCCTCCTCCTCCTCCTCTCTTTTGCATCTGTCTTTAGTGGAGTGATAGGAAATTACTTTTTGTTGCTGCAGTAGTGGTATATATTGTAAGTATTAGAGATTACTACTGATTGTTATAGGAAGTTTCATTGCTTGCTAGACAGTATCTAGAATTGGTTCTTGTGGACTTTATCACTTATTTTCAATCATTTCAAAATTGAGATTTGGAGAGGCCATTTACAGTAGAGGTAATACCTTGATCTCAGAGTTTCAGTACGTATCATGTCCAGATAAAAGAAAGTAATGAAGTAAAAACCCCAAGGGTGCGTAGTATTTCCTTTTTTATTTATATGCTAATGAGTGCTTTTCATCTCTTCGACACAGAAGGCGGAAGTGTAGACCCTAAGCTGAACTCAAAGCTGGCCAAAGCAATCGAATTTGCACGGAGTTGCTGCATGCCCGTGGCGAGCATCGAAAGTGCATTAAAAGCATCTCAGGTGTGCTTTGTGTATTATTGTTAGTGTAAATGATACTTATGATGTGAATTGGTTGAATTTAGATATTAATGAGAAGTCTTGAAATATTTGGGTAAGAAAATGAACGGAATTGGTATTGATGGAAGTAGTAATAATAATGATAATCAAAATAATGATGAAATAGTAGTAAAGATAACGATAATGATTATCATGATAGTAATAGTAATAATAATTGTAATAATAATAATGATAGTAATATTAATAATAACCATAATAATAATAATAATAATAATAATAATGATAATAATGATACAAATAATAATGCTGATGATAACAATAATGACAATGATAGTAATAACAATAAGAAAAATTATAATAACAAGGAAGTTAATTATAAGGAAAATATTTTATCCTTATTAACAATCATCTATTTAGACAGAAATACAAAGGAAACCTGTTGCATTTCCTTCATTCGCACTAAAAGGGTTATTGATTTTCATAATTTCAGAAATCCCAAGATGATGCTAAACCAGCAATTATGGAATACAGAGGACCTGGTGGTGTGTTCATTTTAACGGAATTGCTTACTTCGAATATCTCTCGTACCAGGCAGATGCTACAAACAGTTCTTAAGAAACACAAGTGAGTTATTTCTTTAGGGTTTATGATGCTTTGAATAACATAATGATTTTATTGTAGTCTTTGCTTGTTATTCTGTGAAAGTCTAATAAATGTCTCCCTTTTTAGTGTACAGGAGACAAAAGGAGCTCTAAGTATGTTTGAGGAAAAGGGCGTTATTATAGCAGAGGGTAATGGATTATCTCTGGAGGCTGCGATGGACAGTGCGATAGAAATAGGAGCTGAGGACGTTGAAGAAGAAGAAAATAGTCTTGTGGTAAGTTGTTTTGTATGTTTTTTTTTTTTTTCTTCT